AAACTAAGATTTGGGACAAAAAGGTCTACACAAGTCATAAGACAGATTTCTCATACCTCACAGTTCTGCCAAATCCTAGAAAAATAGAAATTCCAGCATACCCATAGCACAGTGGTTCTCAAAGTGTGTGGTCCTTGTACCAGCAGTATCAGCACCACCTGGGAGCTTGTTAGAAATGCACATTTTCAGAACTCATCTACTAAACCAGAAATTCTGGGGTTGTGGGCCCAGGTTTTAACAAGTCCTCTAGGTGGTTCTAATGTAGGTAAAGTTTGAGAATAATTGCCATGTTCTAACTCTGTTACAACTGTAACATTGCATGAAGTGATACATAATATCAGGTAGTTATACTTAGATTATTAACATGCATGCGAGTGGATTGTCCAGTTCGCATGGGGAGAGGGGAAGGCGCCCAATTTGGCTGTTTTTATCAAGTATATTTACATTTTGGATCTGTCTTTAACTTCCTCTGCTACCTTGGGCAAAGGACTTCGTACATCTGCCTACATCATCCCATAAAATAAAGGGGTGCTGCCCCTATTTATTGTCATCCTTTCCAGCACTAAATTTCCATGTTATGGTTTTTTTCTTCGTATCTATATCAATCCATATCCAAGTAATTATTAGAATAGCAGGGAGAGATTAAGGAAAGGCTAGCTTTCCAAATAGACTAGACTAGAAAAAATAAGACAGGAAAATATGGAAAGACCAAGAAGCACTACTGGACAAAAAAAAAAAAAAATCCCTAAGGAAATGTAGCCTTTCTGCTTATATAAATTCTGTGTTAATTAAAGAACAAGAAAAACTAGAGGAGGAATAAGTGAAACAGCCAGAGACTCTCCAAGGGGTGGGTGGGGAGTTAACACTGATTTCTTGCTCTACCAGTCAGAAATATTTCACAGTGAGCTTTTGATGACTCAGCCTACTTAAATCATTTGCATGAAGGACCTTGGTCTTTACCTCTGGATTTCTTTGATAGAAACACACTTGCCAGTGAGACTACATCTTGCTTTTCATGATGAACTGTGCTGCTTGTAGAGTGCTTTCACAGACAGTATGTCACTTCAGTCTCACATTAACCCACCCATGTCCGTGATTTTCCCAATTTTACAAACAAGCAAAAGAAAGACATGGGAGGCAATGAGTTACTCAGGTTGAGGAAGATTAAGCGTTGAATGCCGGGGCCAACACTAGGCCAAGGTCCTTAGTTTTCCAATCCAGTGTTTCTTCTACCGCTTTGCCTTCAAATCTCAACGGGTGTTGGGGAGATCAAGGCGGACCATCCTACCTTTTTCCTTTTTATCCATTTCTCTTCCTAGTTTTCCTCAGGTTGCTATCAAAGGGCACTAGGCTTGTGTCAAGGAGATGGAAATTCTAGTCTTGGTTCTACCACAGAAGGACTCAGATGAGCCACTTATGCACTCTGGGCCTCACGTGGACCATTGTTATGATGAAATTAAATTCATATTTTATGGCAAGACAAGAAAAATTTAAACATAAAATTATTCTCTGCCTGTTGGGGCTTCCTCCCTCCCCTTTAGTGTGTATTGTGCATCTGCATTAACCAGAGCTCCTTAGGAGTTAACATTCCTTCTTAATTTTGTAGAGAGACAGGGTGACCCACTACTGGCTTTCTACATGCAGATCTGCATTGTGCAAACTGTCAGTATGTCATTTGACATATCACCCTTTGTCTCAAAAACATAACTGTGCTGTGTCTTCTAACAGTCCTCAGAGCTTTCTAAAAGACTGTCTCCTGGGTTATAATCCTCAAGTTGGATCGAATAAAATTTTCCATTTCTTTCTTAGATTGACAATTGATGATTATTTTTTTGTTTTGTTTTTGGCCGTGCCATGCAGCACATGGGATCTTAGTTCCCCGATGAGGGATTGAACCAGGGCCCCCTGCAGTGGAAGCCCAGAGTCTTAACCACTGGACTGCCAGAGAAGTCCCTTGATTAATTTGTCATCAACAGTTATTTCCAACTTTTTCTCAATCATAGTATGAAAAATGGAATCAGAAGATATATTGGTTGACTTTTGCATTTATATAGATTTAAGTTTACAGACTGTAGCTGGGGTTTAAAGGGAGGTGAGAGGGCAGGCAAAGGGGGAGATTCCAAGAGGTTAAAAGCAAATAGGTTTATGACAGAGTAAATATTTAGGGTGTGGAATTGAGATAAGGCTGAGCTTCATTTAAGACCCTTCCCTTGGTGTCAATAATCAGTATCAAGGCTGCAAAACAAAGAGCTTTGTGGGAGTCTTAGGAATTGCAATTCTGGAGACACAGACTCACGTTCTGTTCTGGGGAAGATAAAGAGTCAGGGGCTTACATAGTCAAAAGCCATAAGGTTGTTCAAGAATTACAGTTGACCCAACACAAGAAAGGAAATATTTGTCTTTAAGGAATCGTGAGTTATTTTAGGGTAGGGGTCCGATAAGTATCTTGAGTTTCTGGAACATTGGGCAGATGTTTCGAATGCCTATGTTAAGACAAGAAGGGATCATAGTTCAGATTCCATCTGGGATGAGACGTGCATAAGTCACATTTCCTCAGTGGCCTAAGTTCTGTTTTGGTGAAAAGAATAAGGATGTGGAACAGAGACTATTGTGGGAACCACAGGATCAATAAGTTTTAGAATCTCTCATGTACGTCTAGCCCCACTTTTACTGAAATGTCTGAATTCTGATCACATGATGCTGCTGAACAAATAGTTTGCTGTCCTGTTAGAATCTGAGAGTCAGAAGTGTGTGAAAGTTCAAACGTGGTCAGGGATTTTTTTTTTTCTTTTAATGGATCAAAGTGGTAGGTTTGGTGGCTTTTTTTTAACTTAAAAAAAATTAAGTTATTTTATTTTTTAAATTTTTGGCTGCATTGGGTCTTTGTTGCTGCGCGGGGGCTTTCTCTAGTTGTGGCGCATGGGCTTCTTATTGCGGTGGCTTCTCGTTGCAGAGCACAGGCTCTAGGAGCACGGGCTTTAGCAGTTGCGGTACGCAGGCTCAGTAGTGGTGGCTCGCGGGCTGTACAGCGCAGGCTCAGTAGTTGTGGTACACGGGCTTAGTTGCTCCACAGCATGTGGGATCTTCCCGGACGAGGGCTTGAACCCGTGTGCCCTACATTGGCAGGCAGATTCTTAACCACTGCGCCACCAGGGAAGCCTGGTGGCTTTCTTTTTACTGCCTGTTAGCGTCAAGGAAATCCTTATCTATTTCAGTCAATTAAGTTTTTCAGGGTGTTCAGGGGCAAGTTAGCCTAGTTCCTTTACATGTGCCTGTATGCCTGTCTGTGTCTCTTCCTCTTCCAGGAAATTCAGAAATACTGATTCATCTGCACTCCTATCCTAAAGCAAGCCAGTTTATCAGTAGTTACCAAGTCCAGCATCTCTACAAGTAGGCCTCATCTGGAACACTAGAATTCGATTTCTAGACAGAGTATAGGAATATTTGCTTCCAGAGCAAGTGTTGTAAAACTGTAAACACAGAGATGAATAAGTGAGGTGGTGTAGAGGAAGGCGAGAGGGGGGAAAAATAGAAATGATGTTCCGGAACCGTGAGAGATTGGGGAAATGGGGTGGAAAAAATGCGAGAGTGGGAATAGTACAATGCTTTTGAAATTGATTGAGCATTGCTGGTTTACAAAATCAATTTAGTGATTTTTCAACCAGCATTTTTTAAAAAATGATATGCAGTAGAATAAAAAAGATACAGAATGCGGGCTTCCCTGGTGGCGCAGTGGTTGAGAGTCCGCCTGCCGATGCAGGGGACGCGGGTTCGTGCCCCGGTCCGGGAAGACCCCACGTGCCGCGGAGCGGCTGGGCCCCTGAGCCATGGCCGCTGAGCCTGCGCGTCCGGAGCCTGTGCTCCTCAACGGGAGAGGCCACAGCAGTGAGAGGCCTAAAAAAAAAAAAAAAAAAAAAAAAAAAAAAAAGATACAGAATGCATAGCATTGAAGGATAAATATGGTTTTGGAAACATTTAAAATATATGTAAAAATATATAATGTATTTATATATATGTAACTATATAAATTATAAATAAATGCGCGCACACACACACACACACACACACACACACGTCGGCACACAGGCCTGGGGTTGTTTTGTAAGCTATTTCTCACATTGGGTCTCGGTCCAGGCTTTGAAAACTCCTGGAACATAGGATCTAAAAGAATCCAGCAAGGTAAATTCAACGTCAAATAAGCAGGACTCTTTTCTCCTTTTGCTGTCCACATCATTTACCGGAGGGAGAAGAAAGGGGCCTGTGAGGGAGGGGACACCAGACTGAGGTCAAGCGAGGGGCAAGGGCGCATCAGGACAGGGAGGACCCCGGCGACTTCTTTCCGGACAGTCTACTGATGACCCCAGGAGGTTGATTTTGAGCGCTTCACTTAAACGCTAAACCGAAAGAACAAACTCGTTCATTATCCCTGAAAAGCCTCCAAAGGCGAAGGATTCGCGCTGCTCCTGAAGGTGACACTACATAAGGTCAGTCCCAGTAGAGGGGATTATTCTCTTCTTGGACGAGGAACCGGGAAGTGGGCGGGGCGTGGGAAGCGCGGGAAGGCCCGGTAGGGTCGGTCCAAAGAGTGACTCACGTCTTGCTCTGCACAGCCCACCAGAGGAACAAGCAGTTCTGCCCTTTGGGACCTATCCGCCAGCGGAAGCCCCAGGGCGCTGGTAGGGTTGTGCCCTTTCCGCGGGCCAGAGACGCTCCCTGACCGTGGGCACCACCTGCCCCAGCCCTGGCCCTGCGGCAGGCCGACTTGGCCGCCTGGTCGCCGGACCCACGTGACCTGCCGCGCCGGCCACCGCCTCCGCCGCGCCCAGGCCCCGCCCCCGTGACGTCTAGCTACCTCAGATTGTCTGAATGTTCCTTCTCTTTCCGCTTTCGGTAATTGGTCGGCCAGGCAGACAGCGCCCCCCATCCGCCCCGCCCCCGGAGTCGTGGGGAACGCTGGTGGGGGCGGGGCCTGGGCTGGAGGGGCGGGGTGAGAAGGCTCCGCGCCGGTAAAGGGGCCGCCCGAGCGCGGTCCGAGCCATCTACTGCTGCTGGTCCCGCGGCCCTCCCGACTCGCCGCCCGCCCCTTCGCCGCCCGCCGCCGTCACCAGGGAAACGGGCTGCGACCGCCCGCCGACCCCAAGCTGGTTTCATGGCAGCCGCGAAGAAAGCAGTTTTGGGGCCGTTGGTGGGAGCAGTGGACCAGGGCACCAGCTCGACGCGCTTTTTGGTGAGCCCGGGGTGCCCCTGAGTAGGTGATGAACCGGGGCGGGAGCCTTGGAACGCCGGGGCTGGGTGTCGCGTCCCCATCCCGTTCTTCCCCCGGCCGCCAGGCAAGAGAAGGAGGCCAAGAGCCCCGGAGCGGGACTTGCCACGCTGGAGCTGCCCCGCCCGGGCCTGGGGGAACGCGGCCTCTCGCGACCCCCGCGGCTGAGCTGAGCAGCCCTGGCCTTGAAGGAGGAACCGGGCCGCCTTCTAATGGGGGAACTTCTCCCCCGAAGGGAGCTAGGACTCGTCGAGCGTCCGTGCAGAGCAGCCCGCCTGCAGCCGGGGACAGGTGGCCACATTGACCGCTGCTGCAGTCTTCCCCAGAAGCATTTGGCCTGCCAGGGGCAGGACGTCCTTGGATGGGGGAAGCTGTGTCACGGCTGTGGTAGCCTAACAGCGTCCTTTGGAGCAGTGGAACGAATATAGTATTAGCGTGATGATGCCTTGTCATTCTCTCCCACAGACACTGCAGAAGGTAGAATGCCAAGGCGGGGGGCGGGGGCCGGCGAGTGGCAGAGCACATTAGGAAAAAGTCACACTACACTGCTTTTACCAGAGTCTTTATTTAATTTCGAAGATTCGTAAATTTCAGTTCTGATACTTTGCCCATTACAAAGATGACTGTCCTCTCTGCGCTTCACAGCGTAAAGCGGCAGGGAAATTCTATTTCTCGTTTTATTTACCATGTCTGACAGCAGAGTTTTGCCATAATGGAGTGCTATTTAAGTGACTTTCTGCTGATTAATTTGTTTTGGGCAATTAGGAAACTTGCTCTTAAAGTGATCTAGCACTGACTTCAGTAAGATAACTTAAAAGTAATTTAAACACTATTGTTGTTTAAGAGCCCATGCTTTCAGTGGACATTTGACTAATCTGGCAAGTTGATGTAAATATTTAATGACTACTTAGCTCCCTCTTCACTTCTTTGTCTCAAATCATGTTTTCATGCATTATTTAGTATGTATATATACTGTATGTATACATTGTACATACAGTATATATATATTTTTCAGAGCTCTGTTTAGTTGGCCACTTGACCAAAACCTGCATTTGCACCTTTATTTTTCTTTTTTTTAGTGAGTGAGTATTTTTGGGTTTTTTAAATTAATTAATTAATTAATTTTTGGCTGTGTTGGGTCTTCGTTTCTGTGCGAGGGCTTTCTCTAGTTGCAGCGAGTGGGGGCCGCTCTTCATCGCAGTGCGTGGGCCTCTCACTATCGCAGCCAATCTTGTTGAGGAGCACAGGCTCCAGACACGCAGGCCCAGTAGTTGTGGCTCACGGGCCCAGTTGCTCCGTGGCATGTGGGATCCTCCCAGACCAGAGCTCGAACCCGTGTCCCCTGCATTGGCAGGCAGACTCTCAACCACTGTGCCACCAGGGAAGCCCCTTTACCTTCATTTTGATACTCATCTCTCTTGTCTAAAGTCAAAAGCCTTCAGTCCAGTTTTAGCTTGGTTCTTATTTAATGACTTACCCTGGTTGGAGCTGCCAAGACATAATTCTACCGTCTCTTACATTGTTTACCTTCTGATCACCCAGGGCAGGTTTCACTGTGTCTTATTTTCACGTAAGTGTCTATAAAGTAATCCAGAATCATAAGTAAGAAACTTAGCCTAACTGGATTTGATTAATAAAATGCACAATCATCACTACCATCTTCCCAAATTAAGAAAGACCATTAAGACAATGTGCTAACTGTGGGTTGAGTTTTGAAGCCGTATTCAAGAATTGCCCACACAAATGCCTCCAGGGGCCAGGCAGGTAGAGGGAGGAGGGCAGACTGGAGAGCAGACTCAGGCTAAGGGGAAACCTATAGCTGCCAGGCAGGAACACTAGCCCCGTGCTGCCAAATCTTCAAATTCTTTAAGAAAAGCTGGTAGTCTAGAGTTTTCAGTGAAATCTTCCTGTTCTTAAATGTTGGCAACTAGTTCCTAATGGATTGTAGGGGCCAAACCAAACATGGCAGTTGTTCTCAAGTTTAGGCAGCCTTTGCCCTCTATGAAAGTGGGTAACATATTTCATAACTCTGTAGGCTGCTTTTTAGTTACCAGCCTGACTGTGCCTTTCTTCCTTTTGACTTTTCACTGTTGCTCTCCATATAGCCCAGCAATCTTCTTTATCTACTGCAGGTTGTTCCTTGTCCCTCAGATTTTGTTGCCCAAGAGGCATCTTTCTGCATTGGTGGGGAAGGAATGAAAACTTAGTATCATCACAATCAGTTGTTCAGTGTCATGAGCCTTTAAAAAGTTGGGTGCTGTTTACTGTGGCTTGATCTCAGTGAGTAAGCTAAGGTGCACATTCAGAAGCTTCCTGTCCTGCTTATAGAATGATGTTTAAAAGTTGATCAATAAAGTTTCCTGCTGCTTGAGAAACAACTATGCAAGAAAGCTTCAGAGGTAAATAAAAGACTACCTGTGTGAAGGGATCCTGTGTGAAGTAGAGAAAAACTTGGGAATGGTTTAGAAAGGGTTTTTTTTCCCCCTTGGTTATAAGGAAAGAGGTTTGCTAAAGCACTCCCTACAAAATACAGATAACAGATTTGCTGAATAAGTGCTTCAGTCCCAAGGTGATTCCCAGGAGTTGTTCTAGTCATATTGTTCCACATTGTAATTATGACTCACAAATATTTGCTTACCTTCTCAGGAAAGAATACAGCAGATAAGGACTGTCATAAGGAAGCTTATAGAGTGAAAGGTATTAAAATAATTTCCTGACCATTATTCATTGAATTGTCATATCTCATTCAACATTCACAAGACCAATAACCTTGCTAAGTTTTCTTTTCCCTTTTTTGATGCCAGCCATGTTGGCTTTCTCCCATAAGGGACACAAGATTTCTTTATTCATGTTCTTTCATCCAAGGGAAATGCCTCCTCCCTGTGAAAATTTCCCATATCTGCTTCTTGAAATTGCGCTCTACCTCCAAATTTTACTCCAAATTTTACCTCCAAATTGTACTCTACCTCCAAATTGTACTCAACTGCCATCTCTTGGTAGAAGTCTTCCTCAAACCCTTAGTCAGAATTTCTCCCCCTTCCTATAGCATTCTTTTTTATTTGTTAATAGCTCTTAGCACCTACTTCGTGTCATTGTATATCTGCTGTACTTGAAAGCAGGAACCTCCTTTTTAAGACTTGTTCATCTTTGTATTCCTTAAAATATCTTGGTCAACATGACGAACATCTGTTTTATCTACAGGAGCACTTTATACATATTTGTTGAATAGATTTTTATAGGTCAACTGAATTTTAAATCTGGTTTTCTTTTTTATCTTGTCAAAAAATGTTAAAACTCTCTGACTTAGGTATGTTTGATTACTTAATTTCTTCTCTTTTAGTAGTAGACCTGCAACTTTAGAACAGGTTCGTTTCTTCCTCTAGTTGTCAGAGACTTAAATCTTGGGACCCTATGCATATGTTTTGTACCAAAGGAAAATTTCCAACTTGTCTGATAGGAAAGTGAACTGGGCTTGGCATGTGTTTACCCAGATTTCAGAGTAGGAACTTCTTGGAAAGAGAATTAGTGTAACAGGTTTAAAGGAGGAGCCATTTCTTCATAAGACAAAAGCTTCACCTTAAACAGTCAACTTCCTTTTTTAATTTGGTAACTTTATTATTTCCCCATTAAGTTGACTGCTAAAAAAAAAACCCAAAAACAAAAAACAAAGGATTAGAATGTGTTGTGACTTTTGCAATGTGTCAGGCACTGCATTGAGGACTTTTCCAGCTTTATCTCATTTAATCCTCATAACACATATGATGTAGGTAGTATTATTAAGCTCCTTTGCCTAGATGATTAGACCATGCTGAAGAGTGTGCCCAAGGTTACAGAGTAATGTGGGACTGGGATTCAAGTCCAGGTCTGTCACAGTCAGAAGCCTATCCTCCTAACACCTCCTGCCTTAGGCTCCCGAGCTACCTGAGTACAGTCAAACCTGGGTATCTAGGAGACTGGTTCCAGGACCCCCCCGTGGATACTAAAATCCTAGGATGTTTATGTCCCTTATATAATAAAATGGTGCATTATTTGCATAAAACCTATGCACATCCTTCCATATACTTCAAATCATCTCTAGATTACTTAAACCTAACACAATGTAAATGCTATGTAAGTAGTTGTAAATACAATGTAGATGCTATGTAAATAGTTGCTAGGCCCAGGGCAAATTCAAGTTTGGCTTTTTGGAACTTTATGGAATTTTTAAAAAAAATATTTTTGATCTGTGGCTGGTCGAATCTACAGAAACGGAACCGTGGGTATGGAGGGCTGACTGCACTGTGAAGGGAAGATGGGAGGCTGGGGAAGGCCATTTACCAGTTCTGATTATGGTCACAGATGAATCTTCACCAAGAAAAACATACTCACACACAGGTTTCACAATATGTAAAAAAATGTTGCCTTTGAAAAAGTCCTGCTGGTTTGGATCATCTTGTGACTCAGATTAAGCGGGGCCTGGGCAGGGCTTAGGTGTAGTCACCGTGGATAATGGTTACGTAACCATTTTGTTCCAATAGCCAGCATCTATGAAGAATGACTTGAATTGTAGCTTCATGCTTATTTTGGCAGGAAACATTGCCTTGACCCCGGTTGTCTCATCATACTTAGAGATCTCAAGGTTAAGGGATAGATTTCCGCTTTCTTTCTTTCATTTATGTATCCAACACATAAGTATTAGGCACCCATTAAGGGCCAGGAACTAATGAACAGTAAATTTGGTAAAACTAATTTGGCTCATAGCTCGACTGAGGCCCCTCATAATAAATGTAAATGTGATTCTTTTGTGTTACCCCCACCACTAAGTTGGTTAGTTTTCTTGCCCGTAACATTACAGACATGGCAAGAACATGTTCTCATCAGAGAGCTGCCACCCTCTCTTGTCCTCTTGTCTTATAAGCATAAATGTTTAGAGCCTTCAGTTTTGAGTTCCTTGAGGGGCAGAATGGTGTCTTTCCCCCCCTCTC